CGTTTTCTCCCCGTGCAGGTGGTGCTCGCTCCGGGGCGCTGAGCTGCGGCGCGCTGCGCTCCCCCCGCACGTGCTACACGGGCCGTCGTTACTCAGGGGCCTAAGTGCTGGCCGGGGTGTTCTTGTCATCAGCAGAGTAGAAAGTGAGAAGGTCACTCGTTACCGGGTCACCGAGCATTAAGACGACGAAAAGTGAGAGGAGATTGTACGAGGCGGGGGCGAGGAGGGCCCCTGGGGGGCATCAGGTGAACGCGCTCGGGCCAGGGAATCACGAGCGGAAAACAGTGCCATATGGAAATCCGTTGGTTGGGAATCAGCGAAAATGAATAGATTATTACAGACGAAATTCACGGGAATGTTGTGCGTATACCTAGAAGAACTGCAGTTCTCGACAGTTCTTTTAAGATTGACTGCCTCGTTAGAATAAAAATCCAAATGAATGGCAATTTTTTATTTATGCACTTTTGAATTTAAATTGTAACATATGAAAGGAGAACTATTTAACACGACCGCGTACCGCGTACCGAACAGGGCTTCTTCACATACGCACGCACACACAGGAGGCTGACCAGCAGTGCACTTAAAAAATAAATCTTGAAAACGAAAACTATCTTAAACGATGAATGAATGAGGTGATCTTTTGCACTGTAATTTTTCTGGTTTTCAATAAACCTTCCTAAACCGAGCCCAAGACATACTCGCGTCCGCCCGGCGCGAGGGCGCTCCCGCTCCTCTTTGTTTTGCTGGATTCCAGTGTCCAGGCCAAGCAGACGACAGCACTTAGCTTCCTGGAGGCTCCAGCCGAGGCTCCAGCGCCCGCTCTATCTCCCCGTCCGGTTGAGTAACACGTATCCTCCGCGCTCTGCACCCAATTTCTCTCCTGTCACCGGCCCGACTAAGTAGCAGCACCCTGGCCGCCCCCCGCCGCCCTGCAGGGCAGCATGCCCTCGCTTTCCCTGTTGTCCTGCTACCTGCAGCAGTCCTGCAGGCAACGAGCGGCAAGGCGGCGGGAAAACAGTAAAAAGTAACAGGACCCGAGGTGAACGATAGCGACCCCAAGCGATCGCAGAGCAGGCGTGAGCGGCAGGACTTCCCCGACCGAGCGGGGTGCCCCATAAATAAAAGTGTTTGACTGACCAGTAAAAATCCTTGACACATTTCTGGTCGTCTTCTTCAAATACATTTTCAGTTTTATGTACCTTGCGTTACATTTCTGCTTGTTAGCCCAGCATGGTCCCCGGGTCACTACACCACCCAAAATTTCACCCATTTCTCAAATATCCTATTTTTTGCTGAGCACCCGCATGCATACCACCCCCCTCCTCCCCCACCTCCCCTTAACTTCCGCCGTAGGTCCGTTCTGCCTTTCTTACTATACTTTTCGTGATGAAAGCAATCCATTCTGCGAGGAAGTAGCCGCCGTACGCTCTGTATCACGCCGCGGCCACTTCCGCTCCGCACGTCTGCCTGGCCATTGTGGCTCTCTCTCTCTCTCTCTCTCTCTCTCTCTCTCTCTCTCTCTCTCTCTCACACACACACACAGCCGAGCTGGTACATTGCGCTGCAGTACAGTAGGACCCCCTGCAGGTGAGCCGAGGTGCCATTCACAATGCAAACACACTTTCGGTTCTGACTTCACTCGCGTCCCGCTACA